AAGTTTATTTATGAGTCAGGTACTTTTCCATAAAATGCTTTAAGCTATGGTTTGGGTTCTAATGCCACTATTGTGTGTACCCAAATGACCAGAAAGTAAAGGTACTTGCTGCCAAACCTCACAACCTGGGTTTGATTCTAGAACCTTCCTGGTGGAAGAAGAGAACCAGCTCCTACAAGTTGTCCTCCGACCTACACACACATACAAATAAGTGTATATGTATGTATATATGTGTACGTCTGTGTGTGTGTTGAACCCTAAGATCCCCCCTAGAAATTTGGACCCACATAAATATACAAAAATGTATGAATCACTCCTATAACTTATAATTTAGCTATATGTACATATTTAAAACCACAGGTATTAAAATATAGTTACAATAGAAATATCTTCTCCACTCCAGTTTTCAAGAAGTAATGTTCCAGCTCTTCGTGTTCATCTTTTTTTGTAAATATTTTATTATTTTTTATCTTATCTTTTATGTGTATTGAGTGTATTGCCTGCATGCATATAAGTGCACCTGTGTCACGCAGTGCCCATGGAGGTCAGAAGAGGGTGTCAGATTCCTTGGAACTGGAGTTACAGACAGCTGTTAGCTGCCATGTGGGTACTGAGAATTGAACCCCAGTTCTCTGCAAGAGCAGTCAGTGCTCTTAACCACTGAGCCATCTCTCCATCCCTCATGTTCATCTTGACATTGATATCTCTGCCACTTTTAGAGCCATTTTTGAGTCAGTTTCATGACAGAACTATGAAAGGGCTTTAGGACAAAGAGGTGGTCCAGCAAAGACCAGAAGAGGGGCGTGTTGGTAGGGTGCTAGAAGCCACTCACAACTCAAGTGTTCTGTTTGCTGGAGGGTCCTAATTTATTTGCCAAATAGACTGTGATCTGTCCTGTGGGACAGTGGCCATAAAGTATCTCGCTATATTTTATCCCACTTTATAAAATATGTTAGATGTACCTTAAAAAATAAATGCAGCTTTGGAGCTCTGAGAGTTTTAACTTTAGCCAAATACCTGTCAATTGTGAAAAAAAGTTGTAAATCATTTGGAATATTACCTGTAAAGACTTCAAGCAATGAAAGTCTTGAGTACTTTTTTTAAATTACTCCACTGTGGGCTGGGGATGTCAATAAGTGATGAAGTGCTTGCCTACCATGTATGAGGTCCTAGGTTTGAATCCTACCACAGCAAAAAGTGGAGTAAAGCACTAGTAACTCCAGATCGTGGACATCACTCCCCTTTATTCATTTTAAAACATACTGAAAACACTGCTTCTGAAAAAAAAAATGATGAAAACCACAAATTATTAGATAGTGAAAGAATTCCTGAAGGAAACCATAACTAATTGTTTTTTGATAAGCTGGAATATAAAAGTGGCTGCTGTAGTTGGCTAATATTTATTAAGCATTTACACTGTGTCTACTGCTGTGCCTTGTATGCTGCTTTCTGTTGGTGATTTTTATTAGACAGGTATCTTATTATTTCATGTTTACTCCAGCTACAGTAACTTGTTAAAAGAAAAAAACTGATGTTAAGAAAGGATGATATCACAAAGAAGTTGCATTCCTACAGGCAAAATAAAACAGACCTCTGTAAGGAAACAAATACACACACACACACACACACACACACACACACACACACACACTTTATAGTATGTTACTAGAGATGGTATTAATGTTAAGGTGAAAACTTCTTGGTTTTTATGGTGTTCTTATTAATAGTACATAGCATTTTGGTAACTTCTGAAACATAGCATTTAGTCATATCTTATTTCAAAATGCCCTTCAATAGTATCTGTCATGAAATTTTCAGGTCATGAAACTGAATTTAGGATTTACAGAAGTGTTATTATTGGCTGTAAGGTGATGAAAATGTGGTTGTAATTACAATTTTAAAATAATTTTGAAAGAGAGGTGTTTACAAGGTAAGGTTAAACAGGATTAAATGGTTTATGGCCATTTTATAATGGCAGTCTTCATTTTAAGCTACAATGTAAAGTGCTTTATTCTGAGATTAGGTATTGTGGCAGAAGCTAAAACTGTCTTTTTTATAACAGTGCCAGAATACAACCTCTTTTTTCTTTTTGCACTAACAAGACTGCTCTACCACCACAGCCCACTCTAAGTAATTCAATCAAGCCTTTGTACTTACCGTATTCTCCTCTAGTGACGGTACTAGATCTGATTATATGCTTCATGCATATTCAAAGTACCGCACTGACAGCTCTTTAATGAGCTCTTACTTAATCAGTATGAACAATGTTCATCTTGTTCTTTTTTTCCTCATGCATTAGAGCTGGAACAGTTGGGAAAAATGAAACATCCAGCATTCATTTGAAAAATATATTGTACTTTGAAAAGTGTCTAAGCTGAGGAAGTTGCATTCTGCCCTTTAAAAGTCTGATGGACAAATTGGATTACTAGTATTGGATTAAATAACAAATGGTTAGAGAAGAAATGAGAAAAGCTCACTGTGATCAGAGGCTTTAATATTTTTTGTTGCTTATAAAGCTAAAGGGGTCTTTAACCAGTTATTAAAGTCAGGATTAATTTGTAATGGTTCAACTTATTGGCTTTTAAAAGCTTTTTAAATTTAAAAATTTTTAAATCCCTATAAACAATAGTGTAGTGATATGTTAGAAGAAACTTTGATTTTTCTATTACTAGGCTGAGTACATTTCTGTCATTGTATGCTACCTCAGATAAGATTGAACTGATTTATGGTTTTTTTTCCCCAGTTAATTTAAATAAGCTGTGTAGCAATGTGTAATGTGTCTTTAAATATTTATTGTTAGCCTTATTTCCTTTTGAAACATGAGGTTTTTTTATTATTGGTCATTTCCTGATAGTTAGGGGGAGGAGGTCTCTGATTCTTACCTAGAAATCATAGACATGAATTAAACTGGAAATAACACAGTACCACATTAATATTGTTATACTCGAGGAAACTGTTCCATTGAAGAAAATGATGCTAATTTAAGAGCAGGCCGGTTGCTACTAGTATTGCCTGAAAAACCTCAATTATAGGTTAAGTTAAACTCAAAACAAACTTTTAATATGTCTGTATCTTTAGAAGCCACCTAAGTTACGATCACAATAATTGGGTCTTTAATCAGAAAATATCATAAAATCTACACCTATTAATATTGAACACATGTGTCATTTCACTGATCAAAAAGCTTTCACCAGGATACAATTGGCCTTTTTCCAAAATGCAAGCTTTTCCTTAGCTTTTTCTTTTTACTCTTTCTTCTTTTGTTGCTACCCAGGGATTTGTGCCTATCGCAGCCCATATCACATGACCAGTGTCAAGACATCACATGGTCCAAAATGAATGTAAAACCAGCTACCTAAAGGAGAGATTAGAAATACTGTAAAACAATAAAGACTTTTGTTCAGACTCTGAAAGAATCTATCTTAAGTCGCCTTCATACCATTCAGTTTTAGCATTATTTAATGAAGATGCCATATCCTCACCGTTCCTCCTGACGACAAGTGGCATGCTCTGAAATTCATGTAATCTTTTACACACAGATCAGCTTTTTATGTTATATTTTTACAAATTCTTTGTATTAATGTGGAAATAGTTGAATTAATTATAGCAAGTCTGTGATTTATGTAGGCATTAAAAACAATGTAGTAAATATTTGGACAGGTTGACAAAGTACACCACAGGTCATTATATACTGTCATCTCACTGAAGTTAAAGTGTGGGCATGTGTTTGATGGACATAGCTGTCTGTGTCTGGAAGAGTCACTAACCTGGAACAGGACCTACTTCCAGAGAAGGGGGTGGGGAGGGGGGGAGGGGGAGGTGCTGAAGGAGGACTCCATTTCTTTATACAATCATACCCCTCTATAGTTTGAATTTTTAGAAATATACTCTATGTCTTCAAATTTTAAATGGTACCATCTCACTTAAAAGCAAATTTTGAGAATAACAGTCTCAGCAGGAATATTTCATTTTTATTAGGTATTTAAGTTAATTCTATGAATGCTGTGCAGAAGCTGGACTGGTAATATTAAAAATGGCTTAGCAAAGCAATAAACCAATCATGGGTGAAATTCAGAAAAAAAATTGTCAAAGGATTGCAAATTTGACTTGGCATAATTTGAAAGAAAAGAAAGGAAAAATGTGGCAAAAATTATATTTTTCTTAAGTATAATTGTGACCTGCATGTTGTTCTACATGAACAGTACCAGGGGATTACTAAATGTGTTATTGTCCTCTATGGGGACGGGCAGAGGAACAGAGATGATTGAGTGAGTGATAATAAATTTTAAATGCCTTCTGGTTACAGTTACTATTCAAGCCAAAATGTTAGATTGTCTCTGTAATGAAATGGTTTTATTATTCTTCCATTGTAGTAATGCTTCTCCCTCCCCCCACCCCCACAGACTTGTAGGTCTTTTTTGTAGTCTTGTCATTTACAGTGCACTTAATAACTTGTCAGTGGTTTATCCTATCAGGGTTGACGAGTTCTAAAATGGTATATACACATATGTTATTTTACTTTCTGTGAGGAAAATAAGAAAAAAAAGTAAGTTGCTACAAGTAAAAGCTTTCCCACAATCTCTGGACTTCTCTGATCTTCGTGCTAGTCTTATGATTCTTGTAATGATTTTTTTTTAAGTTTTTTAAAATCATGACCATATGTCTGTCAGCACCCTGAGGTCCTCATTGAAACATAATAGCTAGTCAGCCTCTGGGGAGGATTTGAAAGGTGGAGCATTTTGTTTACGGTACTTAGTGTTAACATGATCTGCAGGTATGTTCAAGAGGACTGAAGTGTACATGCTGAGCAGTGCCAGCTGTAGAAGACTGGCCTCTGAGTTTTAAATACCGATTTCTGTTTTCAGGCCTTGGACTTTAATCTCATAAGCAATATAGTGTGCAGCTTAGAGTACCTACAGTATTCTTCATGTTAAAAAGTTGTGCTGAGCTGTCTACAGGCTTGTAAAATGTCACATACTATTACTCTTTGTGAACTCCAGGAAGGAACACAGAAGAAGAAGAAGCCATGATGCAGGAATGGTTTATGTTAGTTAATAAGAAAAATGCCTTAATCCGGAGAATGAACCAGCTCTCTCTCCTGTGAGTACTCATGCTTCTGTTTGTTTTCTGTAAGACTCATCAGTCTTGCGCTTTTTCTTACAGCCTTCTTTCGGGTTTCATATTTATGAATCTTAATTTTTTTTCTTCTTTCCTTAAAAACCTAGTATAGAATAGTCTTCATCCAAACAGTAAGCATTTGCAAATGGACTGATAAACACTGAAAAAAGAGGTGTTTATTATTTTTTAAGTCAAGGAATAAGGAACAATTTTTGTGCGTGTACTACTTTTTAAAATTGTATTTATCACATGTTACCATGTGCATGTGTGTGAGAGAAGGGATGTTCATGGCGGTCAGGAGACAGCTTTGTAGAGTCAGTTCTCTTCCACCTTTACGTGGGTTCTGGGGAAAAACTCAGGTCACCAGGCCTACATGTCAAACCTTCACCTGCTGAGCCATTTCACCAGCCCTCAATTTTTGTGTTTAAGTAATAAATCACTTGTGCAGAAGAGGATTAGCTTTCACTGAGGGTTGGAGAACCCTCCAGAAAAAATAAAATTGAAGTCTATTAAAAACAAATTCTAAGTTAAAATAAAATTTTTATAAGGACAAAAATGCATTTATTCTACAGGTCCTATTACTCTAAACTTTTGGATATGAAATTAATTACTTAACAGAGTGATTTTATTATGATTGTAATTAAAAGTTAAATGGAAGTTAGGCCAAATACAAACACCTTTGTCTTTAACATTTGTGTATTACTTTCCACTCTTGAGCAATGTTTTTGTAGCATGTCACTGTTAGGGGTGAGCTTACCATGTTTTTATTTTAATGGAAAACTAATTTTGTAATTTCTACCTTGCCTGAATGTGCTAAACGAGTTATGATGAAGAGAAAGTGGACCCAGAGCCTCTCATCTTTGCATTCACTTTGCACTGCCAATACTTTTCTGTTTGTTACTGTCTTTTCATATGATGTTTTTGAATAAAAGAGTATTTATTGTGAACATTTTGGAATAGAGCCTTCTACCTGGCACTCAATACAAGAAGCATTAAAGAATGGGACTACTTGTCCTCAGAATAAAGTATACCTCTGTGCCATTCAGAACTGAATGAAGAAAATAATCACAGTAAACATTCAACTGAGGAAGGCTTTAGGTCTGTATATCATTTCTTTAGAGTGGCTTAAAGTTAAATAGAAAAGTCACTTATTAGTCCTGAAATCAATGTAAACTAAAGGTTCTTTTAAGTGTTTAATGATTTAGTAATTAGCATATTGATGAACTTTTGCAACTTGCCTAGGGAAAAAGAACATGATTTAGAACGAAGGTACGAGCTGCTGAACCGCGAGCTGCGAGCCATGCTGGCCATTGAAGGTAAAAGAAGTGCTGGGGGAGGCCCGGGAGGTATCAGTGGTCAAGGAGATTCCAAGAGCACATCTGGTTGTCTAGGTTTGGTCTACTAAGTCCCTGCAGGAACTGTATATAAATGTCTTGAAGGCAGAAAGCAATACCCAATAAACCTAAGGAACTGAATTTAGATAGGCAGTCATTATATTTGCTATTAAGAACAAAGTTTCTTAACTTTTGATTCAGTTAAGAATACATTTTCATAAAATATAAGGAACTAATTGATTTTAATTACATTTTATTTGCATGCAATTTCAAATTGTTTCCACTAGGGAGTTTTAGTACAATTATTATTTTGACTTTTTGCCATTGGACTCTAAATTTTGCAATAATACTTCATTGATGTAAACAATGGAATATGTCACTGTCCAGTCTGCTATAATTCTGTTTTATTTTTAGACAAGGTCTTACTCTTTAGCCCAGTCTGGTCTAGAACTCAGTATGTAGCCCAAGCTAGCCTCCATCTCATGAAAGTCTTCCTGCCTCATCCTCTCAAGTGCTGAGATTTACAGGCATGAACCACTGCATCCAGCATCTATTATAATTCTTAAGGCTTAGATTCCTATAAAGTTAATATTTGGGCAAAAGATCTGTATAAGAAAAAACTTAAATATTTGTGTACTTTTCATAAGCCATTGAAATTAATTATCTAGAAATCCTATACATGGTTCGTAGTATCAGTAAACATCAGCTAGCTCTATCATTGTATTTTCTATGTATGGTTTTTTTCAGTTCCTAGGTGTTTTATAATGCTCTTGTATCTCTTAGTTAAAAAATGCCTTATAGTTCAAAGATTTCTACTTAAAAGCTAATCCTTTGGGCTCTATAAAATAGATCTTTTGTCTAATCAATGCAAATTGATTTTTCTATTCTATATTGACCTCTTAACCCACTGACTGTCCATGGTAATTTCTTTTTCACCTGATAAAGTACCTGATCCATAATAAGTCAATTCTAATTAGTTCAGAAAGTAGAAATTTAAGTGTGTAAGGGAAATCCAAATGGAGTCTTATAGTCATAAAATATTTTAAAATAATATTATCATAAAATAAGACCTTTTATCCATGGCCTTCTATGTTGTAGAAGCTTTATTTTTAATTATTTTTACATTTATATTAGCCTTTGATAAATATCACTGATAATATTTTTGTATCTTCATTTAGAGACTCGATATACTTTGCTCTATAAAGCTCAGCTCATTTCCTTCAAATGGCTATACAAATTTATCAAATACCATTGATAACTATGAAAGTCATCAAAATTATTTTAGACCTCTTGTGAAATTTGCCACCAAAATAAAATGTACAAGCACACTAAGTGGTATTTTTCCTCTGCATATAATTTTTCTAGTTATAGTATAGTTAAAAGAGATAAGAAAGCTAAATCCTTGAAAATTAGGTGCAGCAGATACTATTTAAGGAGGACATATGTGTAGTATATGTATATATAATATGTATAATATATAACTCAGTATACAGTATATTCTTTATAGATTCATTATACATTACACTCAACATAAAGTCTCTTTAAAAATATTTTAACCTATCCTCTTCTGTACAGAAAGAGAAACTGTCCCTAAATATACCTTGATACAGTATAATTGGCTTTTAAGGCAGAGATGAAATACTGTTTCTATCCCCGTACTACCAAATTTGCATCTTGCAAGGACAACCTTACATATGTAATAGATCCCTGTTTCCTTGGTATCTCTATGTACAGACTTACAGTTGCAAATAATTTACCATTTTATCTGCTTGACGTTCTTATACACAGAGGAGCAGCAAAAGCCTATAAAAAATTTTAATGCAGATATTAGTCTGTCCTTCATCCCTCTCTCCTTTCCTTTCTCTTTATAACATGTACACATTTTAAATTACATTATCCTATATATGACTGTGCCACAAATCTCAGTGTCAGTTTCCATTAAGGGGGAAAAAAAAGAACTCTTGAGGAAAAGAATCGCCTGTTGATTACAAATAAAGACAGAGAGAGGCCAGTCTCAGTAGCCTGGGCAGGACATAGACAGGGCTGTCCTAGAGGGGTGCCAATCATTGTAAAGATGAGCTTTGTGAAGACAGTTCCTCAAAGCCAGCCCTTAGCATGGACACACACGGGCTTCAGTATCCTTTTTGAGTGTTAAGGCACCAAAGCAAAACACATGAGGAGACAGTATTAGTTAGTTTTGTTTTGCTTTCTGTTGTCTTAAAGTTCAATCCTTTTTTCTTTCCATATCTCTTTTCCATGGCTATAGGATGGCTTTAGTAATAAACTAAAACCTTTTCAAGTAACTCTTCTGATGAAAAAAACATCCACCAGGAGAAAAACCAAGTATTTATAGCCCCAGCATACTGAAAGAAACATTCACAGCTTGGTTTGAGAAAGGGTGGGGGGAGATCATAATAAAAAATAAGACTATTCCATGCATTCATTCTTTGGAGAATCTGTAATCACTTTGACCTGTCTGTTGCCCTCTTTTTCCTGACCTACTGTCATGGCAGAAGTTTCAGCTCCACTGAGCTCAGCTGTAAGGCTCCCCTCAATCTAACAAACATCTTTTAGATACTTTTCCTATAGTTTTCTGTAATTGTTGCTGTTCCAGATTATTTAATGCTCCCTCAAGAAAGATAAATTCATTTCTGCACATATTGGGGTGGGCTTTTAGAAAGTGGTATGTTCATTTTCTGCGCAAGAAATGGATCTTCTCTGGGATTTTGTACATCTTGATTTATTCTTGGCTTAGAGTTTGAAGTGGGTGCTCTTCTAAAAGGATTTATGCATAGGTTCGCTATTTTTGTAGTTATGGTTTATATGATAAGCTTTTTATATTTAAAATCAATATGTAATCCTGTGGAGGAGCTTATCCCCTAAAACCCCATTTGTAAATCTATTTTAGCTTTGTTACACAGCACAACCACAGTCTTCCATGGATTGATTAGGCACCACAGTAGAATCCTATCAATGGCCTGTTCTGATGATGAGGCAAACTCTTTCAGGATTGCTAGTTGACTGGAACTAAAGATAAGACTTGACTGCAATCCCCCAATGTGCTCTTTACAAAACTCGTGTTAATTTTCATCAAAATGCCACACTTATTTATGGTGGCAAGGTTGAAGGTTTACTCCTAGAATGTAAGGTCCTTTCTCTTATATAGTGTTTATAGGTATTTCTCTTGCCTTTCCCCCCCCCCACAGTAATTATCAACTTCAGCAAGTAAACTGAATCAGGGAATGAATAATTGGCCCTATATATGAAAACGAGTGTTTTAAATTAACAGAACAGCTCAATGCAGATGGACATAAACAGGATCTCTTTATTTCAACACTTTGGCTCAAATGCAGCATCAAACTTAATCCTATTTGTTGTGAGAGGATATGGCTTTAGTAGCAAAAGTACACTGGCATCTTTAAATTAATCAGAACCTACATTGTAGTCTGTTCAAGCTAAAATCAGTGCAGCTATCCAGTTAGCTGTGCCTGGTGCTGTAGGTGAGTAATCCTTTCATAAAATCCATAACAAGGTGACCCAAACTGAGATGTGGCATATCTAGATGAAGCTATTTTAAAGAATTTTAAAATTAGGCTTGAACATACAAATGTAAACCTTGATCCATTTTAAATGTAATATTTTTAAATGATCAAAGTAGTTTACTAATTTCTCAAATTTTATTCAGATATATGTAATATGAATATTTGACTCTGTGTGTGTATATATAATTAGATTTATTCCTACACTGAGAAAAATAGACAGTAAAGTGTAGTTCTGCTAATATAAAATCTGTTCATTGCACAGAGGTAATTTGCTCAGTATTTGACTAACACTTTTTATAAGATATCAAATGTAACCATAACAGTTCATAAGGAAAAATTCTCCAGATTTATGCTACAATACTTGAAACTCTGATAGCAGTTAAACTTTAAAATGACAGCAATTACCTAATTTTAGTTTTAATTTTTTTTCCAGTTGTGAAAAATGCTGTTGACACGGGAAAAATTTGAGATTTGAAAAAATTAATCAGTATTTCAGAAATCAGAAACTTCCTCATTTGTTCATCTTGTTAAAATTCTAGCTTTTCCACTGTTAAAGAAATCCTGGCATTTTAAAATTACTAAATAAAGCATTTAAAGTGCTCAAGTTCAAGGAAGTGATTTAATAGGACGTGTGTTTCTGGGGGGGGGTGTTTGAATTTTTAATTTCTATTTCTCTTTTTTTGTGTGTATGGTGGGGAAAAATGTGTTTTTTAGTTGCAAATGTACCAAAATATTTTGAAGTAAAAAACTGAATTTAGCAGAATCTTCTCTGAATTGCTATTTCAAGAACCATAATCACCTGAAATTGGACTATATCGACTGTCTTAACCATCTCAACTGGAGATGTTAATTTACTGACTGAAGAACAAGAACCACGTTAGGGGAAAAATTCAGCATTCTTGTGTCTTTAGTTGCATTTCAGTTCAAAGAGTAAAACTGTGATACATACGACTTACTATTAAAATTCAGACAAAGCTTCCTGCAGATTCTCTTCCTCCTCTCCATTCTGTCAAATATTTCATTCTTTAAATGAGAGTGTAATAATAACCAGTTATTTAATTTATCTGTGATGTTTTGTATGGAATGTGGATAATTAGCATGGCATGTTTAATAGATCCGTTTTGTGTTTGAGCTTATAGAAAGGAACAGTGTGATAAAATGGAATAAACTAGCTTTTCGCAGCTATTCTAACCCTTACTGCATGGTGATGCATCTAATTTTTAATTTGTAAATACAAGACAGAATTCCCTGTAGCACCATTTGCTTTCATAAAGCTGCTGAGCAGTTTGCTGTCTTGAATAAATTTTGCTTTGGAGGGAGTGGGAGGGGTTTTGAACCAGCACATTCTTGTGTGGTTTGTGAAGATTCACATGGTAACCAGCGGTGAGCATTGTTAGGTTTATCTGAATAAGCACCAGCCATGTGAGTTTTAACATGATTGCCCAGGGCAATGGAGAGAGAAGAGGGAACCCCGAAAGGATTGTGCTTCTCTTTGGTTTTGGAAAGTGTATCTGGCGGGGGGAGGGGCTGTGAGAGGCTGTGGCCTGGGTGCCTTTTCCCTCCTTAAAGCTGGTGTCCTGTTTCCCTCTAGGTCCTCATTTGTTCTCTATCTGCCTCATCATCTACTTCTTTTCATTGTTTACCTTCCTAATGAGGGAGGCGGGGTAGACTGGGGGTTGATTGACAGCTACAAGCCCTTACAGTCTGGCCAGAGAGCAGTTGGCTTTGGTTTCAAAAGTGTTTTAAATGTTAGATTGTGGTCCTGTTTTTATTAAATGAAACTGCTGTTCATCTTAAGGAAATCATCAAACCAGAAAAGGTTAGGATACACATTATTGGGTACTAAAACCGTCTTAAAAACGGCCACCTACTCTTGGAAAAAGCACTGCCCAGAGGATTTTCCGACCTTTAACATGGGGTTTCAAAAGAAATATGTCAATTTTTCCTTTGCAAAAGTACTTTGATTTGAAACCACCCAGCAAATGTCTCCAAAAGAAACCTGGCTGTGATGCGATGAGAGCTGCAGTGTAATATTGCAGAGCAAATTTATTTTTTACTTCAAAGAAAAATGCTAATTAGCCGATTCACTACTTTTAAAGTTATTGTGAAGCATATGGCGCCCAGTGTGAGATACATCCAACTGCTAAAATAGAGCGAAGAGGAAATTAGCGAAGAATGGGCTGTTTGGGGTGAGAGTGGGGGTGGGGAGGAGAGAAGGTTCGGGCAGATTCTCCAGCCTTTCAGAACGATTTTATCGCCCTGCTCTGCTTCCCCGCCTCCTCGTTTACTCACTCCCCTACCCCAAGCCCTGGGCCAACCTCTTCTGGCCTCCAGCTCCCCTCCCCCCACTTTGCCTGGATTCAGGTGCGCTCCTCCCGCCGGCCCTCAGACTCACACCTGGTTTCTAGCAGGTTCCTAACCTGCCACACCAATCATCTGTGAGAAATATTTACCAAGTAGGGTTTTCGGCATGACACCCACACTCCGACAGCCAAACTTCCCTTGAAAACACTAGTCTAGCGAGTGGCCTCCTAAACAAGGTTTGCTGAGATGCAAAGAAACTGGAAAAGGCGGGAAGGGGGGGGGGGTTGCTGCGTGTGCAGAGACCCTGCCGATGGTAACTGGCCTCCTGTCCCCTGCAGACTGGCAGAAGACTGAGGCCCAGAAGCGGCGCGAGCAGCTCCTGCTGGACGAGCTGGTGGGCCTGGTAGACAAGCGTGATGCGCTCGTCAGGGACCTGGACGCGCAGGAGAAGCAGTGAGTGGTGGGGCCCTGGGGTTGGGATCCACCGGAAGCCTCCTGCCCAGGGGCCAAGAAGTTCCTGGCAAGTTTGGTTCATTGATCTGAGAGGGCCACTACCTTTGTGCCCCCCATTGTGTGTAGGGGAATGTTGTTCTCCCCTCCATGAAGAAAAATAATTCTGTTTTTCATGTTTGTCTTATATCCAGGGCTGAAGAAGAAGATGAGCATTTGGAGCGAACTCTGGAGCAAAACAAAGGCAAGATGGCCAAGAGGGAGGAGAAGTGCGTTCTTCAGTAGCCACGGACCAGACCAGGAACAGACTGGCTGATTTAAAACTTTTTAGCGCTTTGTTTGACTGGATTGTACTTCTATACCACCGCGCCTCTTCCTCCTTTCCAGATAATATACAGAACTCCAGATAGCTTTAAGGATTTGTGTGTGTGTGTGTGTGTGTTAATCATGGAATCATCTTTGAATCATGTGAAATAGATTTGCACAGACTTTGTGAATGATTGGCATTGGAGATGTTCAAGAGACTGTTCAAAGCAGGAAAAAAAATGCTTCCCTTATTATTTCCTCTCCCTTTTGGATGGGATGAAATTTCAAAACATTTCTGTAGTTGTGGTTGTTGGTAATAACATAATGACAGTGGGGGGGAGGGGGGATAAGAAAGTGTCCTGCCATATGTAACACTTTGTTACCTACATTTCATAGTTAGATTGTATTCATATACTGATTAAACTGTGTTCCCTTTACCAGTGGGGTTTTCTGCAGTTGTTTTGCATTTCGCTGTAAGGAAACTAGAGTTTCCCTCTGTTTTCCTCAGAGACTGGCCCTTTAAAGTAGCCTGAGACAAACCCTGTGATTTGAAAGGTGAACTGTAGAACCAGACTATTGACAGGCAGCAATTTACAAAGACAGTTTTATCATCTGACAATGCGCCATCTTGTTCTCTGAATAATTATTTATTACATCTTGCTTGGTTCTTTTTGTTGGGGCTCAACATTGGCTCAAGAATGCTGTTAATATTTATTCTGTATTGATTAAAAAAAATCTGTCTTGGCACTACAAGTAAATCTCCCCAGTTCATATTTTCTTCTCTAGCATAGCACTGTGGTTTTGTGTGTGTGTATGTGTGTGTGTGTGTGAAAATGGTTATTTATTACAATACTGAGTCATATATAAATTTTCAATAAAAGCAGAAACTTTCTTACCTTAAACACTGCTAATTTTTTCCTTGCAATGAACACGAGTGAAATTTCATGTGGAAATGGTCCTCTGTGCACAGGGCAGGATCCTGGCTGTATTTGGAGCTGAGTAAGTTCACACATCCCAGAGGGGCTGCTGACACCCGAATGCACAGTGAAAAGCAATTAGCCACTTTCTTAAGGAGTGTAAACTATCATGTCTTTTGGAAGGGGTCATCTCTGCAAAAGATTTGAGGAAATTTGTGGTTCCACACCACTGAAAATAATACATCATGGTGAATTCTCCACATGATTGCTTTGCATTGTTGCAGTTTTACCATTGTATGTAGAGCTCTGTTTTAGGATTACCAGCAAGTCTGCAGGTACCGAACTGAAAGGAAGAAGGTTCTTGCTGGGGGCAGTGTGTATGTGGGGTGTGTGTGCGGAAATGAGTGCATGAAATGAACCAAAGAGAATTTTAACAAGAACTTCTATGCCATGGGGGGAAAACGGGCTGTTCTATGGTAGCTTCCATCTTTCTATTGGGGTGTCCAAACAAAGAAAGCTCCTTCAACAAGTCTTGAAACTACAGAAAAAACTAGTATTTACATTTTTGCCCAGATCTGTCTTGCAGGTGCGTACACACACACACACACACCTTTCTAAAAGTATGCAGCCTTTTCCATTGCTAGTCTTTCAAAATGCTAAAAACCTGCCACAGCAGAATTCCTTCATGGCAAGAAACCTTTTTTGCTTTTTCTTCTTGGTGAAAAGTTACTGAAACTAAATGGAATAGGGTATTTGCCCTCTTTATTGGAGCAGGAGAACAGCAGGTTGCTGCTCTCTGGGGAGAATTCAGAATCCTGGCTAACCCAGGTAAACTCTGTGTGGAAATCAACCGCCCCCAAGTATCCTGGGTTTTGGACACCAACTCGGCTCACTCTGGATTCCAGACATCTTCCCTTCCGAGGGGCCTCTCGGGAAGGCGACTTTCCCCTGCCCCCAAGCCGCCCCAGATCTGCAAGATGACAGACCTCCCGTAGCCCTAGACTTGCTAGGGCGAATGGGGGCCCCTCCTGCCTGGCTGGCAGCCTCTCGGGGTTTCCCTGTCGCTGCTCAGCAGCGCCCGAACGCCCCTCAGCGGTGGCGGAGCGCGGACCCCGGAGTCTCGGAGTCGGGCGGGCAGCCGGGGCGTCGCGCTAGCCTCGCGGCGCCGTGCCCGGGCCAGTCTCCGTAAGGCAAGCAGGAACCCGGACCCCTGAAAACCCGCGCGCTGGGAACTGAGACAATGGGTGGGGGTCGGGGAGGAGTTTGCGGCCGGCTAGTGCAGAACTTTCTCCCCGGCCGGGATCCTAACCCCTTCCGGTCCCAAGTGTTCTCTAGGGTCCGCTGTGCGCTTGAGGTCACCTGAATGCTGGATCCAGGTCTGGGGCCCAAGTGCATCGCTCGGTCCCGGCCCGCGGGCCTTCTACTGAGACCTCCCCCTCCACCAAGTCTTCCCCCTTGGCCCTCCGCGCCCCGCAGCCCTCGGCCGGAGCCGTCCAGGTTTCTGGACCGGCGCCCCCCACCTGGACATCTGCCTAGCGACGGCCGCCTAGGTCCTTCGCGCGAATTCCAGAAACTTTCAGCTCGGTCCCTTCCCTCTCTTCTCTCCTCTCTCTCTAAACTCTCTCTCTCTCTCTCTCTCTCTCTCTCTCTCTCCTCTCTCTCTCTCTCTCCTCTCTCTTCTCTTAATCCCGAGGTTTTATGGGATGAGCATTAAGGAAATTCGCCCGCAATTCGGGATTAGATAAACACTCTCCCGGGGGTGTAGAGTCCTTGCCATTTCCCGGGACTGGGGCAGCATCTGGAGCCCAGAGCGGCCGGCGCGCTGGGCCTTGGGGACCGCGCTGCACATTCCAGCGCGCTCGGCCGCCCCACCTCTTCACGCCCGACCCGGGCTGGGGTTCTGCGACCGCCGGGAAACCCGCGGGGAGGAGGCCAGAGTTCCTGAGAGAACCAGCCCAGGCGCGCCCCGGCACCCGAGGGCCCAGCCCGGCGCACAGCCCGCAGGCCGGGACCGGGACACCACCGCCCGCGCACCCCGGGGTGTCCACAGACCCACGCTGGCCCCACTAGTGCGCCGGAACCCGCGCCTCTCCCCTGAGCGGGGGCCGGGGCTGGATTTCGTTTCTTTAAGGCTCAGCACTGTCCGCGGCTCCCGACCGCGCTCGGCTGGCACAGGGAGGCCTTGGGCTACTCCTGCTGGGGGCCAAAAGCCCAAGGTGTGCACCGGGCCGGGTCGGCTCGACGCGGCCTCTTTTCCTTCTAGAGGTGGTCCCCCCTCTCGTTTTCCCCCTTCGCTCGCGTTCTTTATTCTTTCTCTTTCTCTCCCTTTTGTGAATGGGCCGCGGTGTCTTTGTTCTGGACAGAAGCGCCCGTGTCGCTGACTTTTGTGAACCAGAGAAGGATCTTGTAAAACCCCCTTTCTCCTTCGTCCACCCCTACTCACACCCCTCCTTCCCTGCCCCTTTGATTAGCTGTTCCCTCATCGTTCAAAAAAAATGTAATTTCGTTAGTCTGGCGGCCACTTTCTTTGAACATTAGCTCGCTTTCAGCTCCAACTTCAATTAGAAGGAGTTGATTTTGAGAGATCAACAAAAGAACCGACCAAAGCCTTATTAAAGGCCCTAAGAAGATCTCTCGGTCCTTTGAGAAGCAGTTAAGGAAACAGTGTGCCCTCCATCATATTCTGTTACCGAATTTCATTCGGACTCCTAAGGAAAGTGTCGCTTGGGGGAGGGGAGAAGCACTTTGATGAGCGGCGGGCGCTGCCCCTTTTCACTCTGCGGGCTATCCCACCCCCACCCCCGGGCCCCCGGGTCGGCCCGCACTGGGTCAGCTCTCTGTGGGGACCCCTCGGCATAGGCAGCTCGCGGCTCCCTCCGCGGTGCTCCCGGCGGCTCCCGGACTCACCCACGCACACTCTGGGCAAACTTTTCACCCGGCTGCTGGGGTAAGAACCGGGGGTGGGGGGGATGGCGAGATTAAGAGGAAGGATTAGGGAGTCCTAAAATGCCATAGGAGATGCCACTGAAAAGCCCTGCCACGCTCACCGCTGGGCCGAAAACATTTTCCCCCTGGCTTTGGAAAGTCCACACAGGTAGCCGCACTCGGCCAGTTTTTGAGACTGGAAAAGGGGGTCTGTCTCTACGAACAATCCGGGGAAGAGGCTTCAAGGAGGCTCCTTCCGCAAATATGTGCGAAAGAAACTGGGGAATGGGGTCTGTGCGCACTTTTCACTAGCCTGTTCCTGGGTGAGTGGAGACGTGGAGATACGGAGTGTGAAAAAGAAAGTTTCCTAGCAGAATCTTTGAACTAAGAAGTCGGGTGAGTGAGCGTGAGGAAGGGGATGGGGTTTCCAACGGTTCCGAAGCAGCATTTTTGTTTTACAAACTGCTTAGGTGGGGCCCGGGAATCCGCGGAGCCGCGGGGTGCTGCAGCGTGGCGGCGCCGCCCCCGCCGGTGCTCGGCGCGAGAGTCCCGGGGTGCAGCACAGCCAGTGCGCGCGGCCGGCGCTCCAGCGCTCCGCCAAACCTCCTGAGCAGGCACGAGCCGCCCGCGGAGTCCGCCTGCAGGTGCGGGGCGCGGAGGACCGAGGCGCTGGGGCCCAGGGCGGCTCGAGAGGGGCCGGGAGCCCGCGCTGCCGCAGCCCGCCGCCCTGATCGCCGCTCCCACACACCCTGGCCGCGAAGCCTGTGGCACGCGGGGGAGAGAGAACCGGTTATCCAGCACCTTCCTGCCACTCCTTCGCCGCGCCGCCTGGGCGAGAGAAGGGCGGCGGCCCGGCGCAAGCCTCGAACCGTGGCCCCCCTCTGGGGCTGGGGCTTCGGCGCTCCGCTCGCCCTCCACGACTCCCTCTGAGCGGAATTTGCCACCCGAGCTCTAGAGTTAGCGCGCGACCTGGGCGGGGCGGGAGGGCGGAGTGTGGGGGCGGGGAGGGCGGGGGCGCCGAGGTAACCCCGGCTCGCGCTGCCATTGCCCGGCTCCCTGTCACTCAGCCCGCGCTGGGCCCCCTATTGGCGGCCTAGCTCCGTTACGCACTTGCCTCGCGTTCACATACCCGGGGAGGGCAGTAGAAAGGTGATCAATCTTCATCAGGCTACATTTCCAATCACCTAAACAACCGAGCAAGACAAGCCACTCCGACAAGGTAAATTGCTTGATTTATTTGGTTTGCCAAGTGACGTTGCAGGACTTCTTCAGCCCCCCAGCACCTCCACGTTGCGCCGGGAGTGCAGCGGCCAACGAGCCACCTCCCAAGTCTGTCCCTCGAATCTTCCTCCCCCTTTGGCGGCCCCCCGGCCGGGTCCCAGGCGAGACTAGGTCCTGGGAGCATGTACTTTGCAAACAAAGTGCCTTGCAATAAAGTGAAACCCGGAGGGACACGCACAAGAAAGAGCCGGGAAGAGGGAAGTTGGGGGAGAAGTCCGGGGTTCCTGGACCAGCCGCCAGGGTGAATCCTGTGCCGCTCCGTTTTGCAGGTTGGCTGCCCAGCGGGTCTCAGCGAGGGCGCGCGGTAGATGGTGAACAGTCCCGGCGGCCGAGAGCAGGTAAGGAGAACGGCGCGCGCCCGTGAGCCACTCCGGGACAGTATTGGTGACTCTTGCCTCCCCTTCCTCAATCCAGAGGTGCGACCCTGGGTCCCCGGCAGGTGGGCGGGGCTGAGGGTGAGAGGCCCGGTTCGCCTCGGGGTGCCCGGAGGACCTCAGACGGCCACTGCGGCCGGGCGCCCCCCCCCCTCCTCCGAAGTACCCGGGCTGGACTGCAGAGTTAGGAGAAAGTCCTGGAAAACTCAGGCCTCACCTCGGCAGAACCACCACGGCTGGAGTCCCGTTTTCCTCTGGCCCAAGTGCCTGGGCTGTTTTCCCTGTGCTTCCCCCAGCCCCACCCCCACTCCCCACGCCTTCCCTTCAAGCTCGCCTCCCCGAGGCCAGGCCACGGATCCCAGAGGACCAAAGCGGGGGTGGGAGTTGGGATGGGAGCTGCTTTAGCTCTGACTCGGCTCCCTGAATTCCCTAGCTGGGGTTCTTGACCTGTTTGACAAAATTCCTGCGAAGCGGGGTGTAGCTTTGAGCCCCTCCAAGGTTCCAGTCCTCCTCCTCACAGCCCCTTCCTACACTGCAGAGTGACGACACGGGTTCCCAGGACCTGGGGAAGCCGAGGCTCGCGCTTCCAGCTTGGACGTGCGAGAGCTTTACCGTTTGAGGCCTAGTTCTCTGTTCTCTGTCAGGTCCTGGGGCCGCGGGTTCATATAGGTGGATGACGAGGAGAGACGAGACCCCCTGTACTCAGGCTCCCCAAACCCCCAAGACCCTTTGAGGCACAGGGGTGGCCATTCTATCAAACCCTGATGGGGTTCAGTGTTCCCATCTGGACTCTGCTTCTTCCCGGACTGCGCGGGCGAAGAGGCGCCCTGACCTTGGGCGGCGTCTCTGAACTTCTGGGGCGCCTTTGGCTTCCTCTGGCCGCGTCTTCCGGGCCTGGGCCTCTTCCGCTCTTGAAGTTTAGTGGGATTCTGGTTGATCCTTCGCGTAGCGTCAGAACCCAGAGAGGTCAGCTGTACCGGTGATTGCAGGCTCTGGGATAGGGCAAGCCACGGAGGTCTTTGAGAGGGCAGTGAATCCCGGAAAGCCAAGGTCTGCTCATCTTGGGTCCCCAACCCGGACCCCTCATAAGGCCTATCTTTCTGTCCTGCTTCCAAAAACATTTGAAACTAAACTAAACAACCCTCCTGCCCAGTAAGGCCTGCCGTCCAGGTGCCAAGGAACCTACGCCTAGACCAATTTGCTTCTGTTGCTCTCTAAATTTTGACTACATTTGGGAGCTTGCACCACCACTCCCAACCCCCCATTCCCTCTGTCCTGGCTCTCACCACTCCAGCCAGATCCTCACTTTTAACTTTCCTTTCCACACTTTGGCCCTTTATCAAGTCCAAAAAGAGGGAGAGACATCTAGGAAAAGTTTACTTTTCAAAGAAGTGGTGTCGTTGCTGAGCTAAGGCATTGGAGGGGAAATTCCTTAAATTGCCTGTCCTTCGCAGTTCAGTGCCCAGCCTGAGCTCCCTCCCCATCCTAGGCTTGCAGGAGCTGAAGCCGAAGTGACTGGGTTTCCATGTGTCTCCTGTCTTCTTAGGCCAGGCCCCCAGACGCAACAGCTTGAAGGATTTCGCAGTGGGAGCCGTGAACTGCTCCTGGCCCAAGGCCCCCTGGATCCGTCGGGGCGCCTCCACACGGCTGTTAGCATGATGTCTTACCTCAAACAACCCCCATACGGCATGAACGGGCTGGGCCTAGCTGGCCCGGCCATGGACCTCCTGCACCCCTCCGTGGGCTATCCCGGTGAGCAGTGGCCCTCCACCCTTATCCCCAGATTCTGCAAAGATTGGGGATTCCAGCTCTCAAGTTTGAGCCCACACTGTTTCCAGGCAGGCCCAGGGAGTCCATTACCTCTCCTGTTGCCTAAGACCTGCTGCGTGGGAATCTTGGGTTGATCTGGCAGCTAAGGGCTTCAAAAATGCAACTTAAAACTTTTTGATGGGGTGATACTTGCAACTTGTCTCCTGTTATGGTCCCTCCTGCTAGGGAGAGCACATTTATCCACGGATTTATTGTCCTTAGGCCGCTATTTTTTTTTTTCTTTTAATGATTCTGCCTTCCACCTCAGCATTGAATGAGTAATTTGGACACTAGGCCCTAACATATATAGCCAAACTTCCCTTATGTGAGTGGTCTGGCTGCCTGGAGAAGGGAGTTCTTCCTCCCTAGTCAGACTGTTCTCCGGAGTGTGGAGTGTGCTCGGGGTTTGACCGGGTTTGAGGACTCCAGCTGAGCCTAGGTTTTTTTCTAGCTCTCACTTCTTTACCCCGTTCACTCCCTTGAAAAGTGTTTCCGGGTCGTGTTTCACATCTCTTTTCTACTCCCTACTTCCCGGCCTGGGATTGTGTAGGTGTAGGGAGACATGAGGGGTCTATGGCTTTGTTTTTTGTCTCTGAAAGGCACGGAGGGCGCATGCCCTAATATTTGAGACGGAGGTCTCTAGTCGAATTCACCTACTTTGCTCCCTCCACCTGTGGCCTCCAGGAAAGTTTTCTTTTGCCCAGTGGTCGGCCTTTTCTCACGGAGGCGCGGTCCTGGGCCTGCCGGAGGACCTGCGTGGGGCCTCTAGCGCCAGTACTCGTGCCACCGCTGACTGCGGGCGCCCTCGCATGTCCCCGCAGCCACACCGCGGAAGCAGCGACGGGAGCGCACCACCTTCACGCGCTCACAGCTGGACGTACTCGAGGCGCTTTTCGCCAAGACTCGATACCCTGACATCTTCATGCGCGAAGAGGTGGCGCTCAAGATCAATCTGCCAGAGTCCAGAGTCCAGGTGCGCGCTACTCGGGCCCAACAGTTAAGCTAGGGGCGCCAGGACCTGTCCGGGAAGATCTGGCAGGGGTGGTCTGGTGTGTGGGGTGGGCTTACTCACTGGCCAGCCCCTCTCCGACTCCCCCTAGCGCTGGGCCTCAGTCAGGAAAGGGACAGAGTTAAAGAAAATGACTTAGATCCCAGTATCCAACCCTTGTCCCCAGGGCACTTTCGGTATTGAAAGTCATTTTAGGATAAGCCAGCTAGCCTCTCCGGACGTAACTCTTCTTGAAGGGTGGACATTTGCCCCTGTTTCTTTGGCCACCCCACAACTTGGCAGTTTCCCACTGAGGCCTGAATGCTTCCTTCACCCTTGCCTTGCGCGCCCTTGCCCTGCCCTGCGTTCCCAGGATTCTGGAAGTGCAAGAGTGGAACTTGGCTGGAGCCTAGAGCTCTCCATCTGGGAGTATGCTCTGCAAGTGTTGGTTGGTTAGGAGTTGCCACCAGAGTGGACTCTGAGTGCACAGTCCAGATGCTGGCTTTGCTTTTTCTGTTTTTGAGATGAAAGGGTTCCGAAATATAGTTCGGATTCTAACTCAAAACTCTCCTCAAGGGTCTTTTGTCTCGCCTTCTTTCCCTGAAGGCTCGAGAAGGGACCAGGAATGCCATGTGCCCGGGCCCCTCCCAGAGGAGAACTTTATGACTTACTGTTCCACTTGGTACCCCACCTGGAGCCAAAAGGCCCAACGAAATCTCACCCGGGCTTCCTTCCCGAGAAGCCCTGAGTGTTGGAGCTTCTGTTCAGCCTCGGCTTTGCTTCTTCCCACCCAAGCATTTGCCCTGCCCAACTCCAGCCTCCAGGAGCCGACTCGGTGAAACCCCTCGGGCCCCAGGCTTGGGAACTGCCCTACACTCCGGTGTTCTGTACCTCTCCGCTGTTTGCTGAGCTCTGTTCATGGAAAACGGGGCCTCCAAACTTAAACGGGGCTGCGGGGAAGCAGCCAACCGCAACAGCTTAGAGATGGCTGGACTTCTGGCTGGACAGACGCAAACGTTCCTCCCTCGGGCAGAGTTGAGCTGGGCGTGGGGAGGTGCGCATCCCTCGGCGGAGGAGGCTGACTGGGGGCTTTGCGCAGAAGGATGGGGGAGGGTGCGAGAGCTGGGGACCTAGCACGTGCGAGGGAGGGGACAAGGGTCTGGCAGCCTGAGACTGGGAGGGGTAGAGGCTCGGATTGCGAGGGACTCGAGGTCCTGAGCTGGGTGGTGAGGCTGTGGAGCGGAGGACAGTGCGCTCCACTGGCCCCCTGACCCGGTCTCCTTCACCTGGCTCACTGCAGGTTTGGTTCAAGAACCGCCGCGCCAAGTGCCGCCAACAGCAGCAGAATGGGAACGGAACCAAGAGCCGGCCAGTCAAGAAGAAGCCGTCACCAGTGCGGGAGAGCTCGGGCTCGGAAAGCAGCGGCCAGTTCACGCCACCCGCAGTGTCTAGCTCTGCCTCTTCTTCTAGCTCAGCGTCCAGCGCCTCCGCCAACCCCGCGGCCGCTGCGGCTGCGGGCCTAGGTGGGAACCCGGGAGTGGCCGCAGCGTCCTCTCTGAGCACGCCGACCGCTTCATCCATCTGGAGCCCGGCCTCCATCTCGCCCGGCTCAGCGCCGGCGTCCGTTTCCGTCCCAGAGCCACTGGCCGCGCCGAGCAACGCTTCTTGTATGCAGCGCTCCGTAGCCGCAGGTGCCGCCACGGCAGCAGCCTCCTACCCCATGTCCTACGGCCAGGGCGGGAGCTACGGCCAGGGCTACCCCGCGCCCTCCTCTTCCTACTTCGGCGGCGTGGACTGCAGCTCTTACCTTGCGCCCATGCACTCTCATCACCACCCGCACCAGCTTAGCCCCATGGCACCTTCCTCCATGGCAGGCCACCACCACCACCCACATGCACACCACCCGTTGAGCCAGTCTTCAGGCCATCACCACCACCACCACCACCACCACCACCATCAAGGTTACGGCGGCTCTGGGCTTGCCTTCAACTCTGCCGACTGCTTGGATTACAAGGAGCCTGGCGCTGCCGCTGCTTCCTCTGCCTGGAAACTCAACTTCAACTCGCCCGACTGTCTGGACTATAAGGACCAAGCCTCTTGGCGGTTCCAGGTCTTGTGAGCCGAGGAGTCAGAGGAAAAGGAGAAGAAACGCAACTACCTACGCCCTCAGTGGTCCCCATTCCTGTTGCTGCTGCTGCACCGCTCGCCTTTGCCTTGGCTTCTCCAGAACTGAATTTCACTCCCCCAAAAGATGCCCTTTGTCCGCACTGCCGCTCCCATCTTTGTGCCACTTACCTGGGGGGATGTGCAAACCCTCCTACCGTCTTGGATGTGGGGCCCAGTGTTTCTGCTTGGCCCCCCGGTTCTTTATGGTATGGCAGTGTGCTCTCTTCCTCAACCTTTAGCGAACTCCTATGTCACCCCTTCCAGTCCTTCTGGACAGCTATTATGCACTTGGAGCCATCTGACGCTCTTCACTCTGACCCTCCGCGCTCAACACTTTTATTTATTCTTTCTAGACAGTGAAGTCACTAACTGGCGTGTATCTACCCTTTGGAGTGTGCCCATACACAGCACGCTAAATCAAAACAACCACTGTTTCTCCTAGCAGACTGTCGCCCCTTCAGCTGCCCCTGATCCAGCTCCCCATCTGCAGGCCAGAGACCAGGCACTTCCACTTTCCGGGTGGTGAGCCCTGGGCCAGGTCTTCGGGAGGAGGGTGCCTCCTCCCCTGCCCTGTGCTGGACTGATTCAGGCTTCCGCCTCGGCGCGGGAATTCTGTACATAGTCGGGTCCGTTCAAGGGACCACTTAAACTTTTTTTTGTTGCTGTTGGCTGAACTGAGCATCTCTCGTTTTAGCGTCCAGGAAACAGAACTTTAAAATATATACAGCATATATATATACATATATATATAATTATAAAACAAAAGCAAAAATATTTCCCGTTTGTTCCCGTTCCTCACTTTCTCAAACGATGGCGCTTCTTATTTTTCAGTTGTTACAAAGCTGTCCTGCCCTCTTCACATCTTCTCCCTCTGTGTATTTATTAAGGAAAACCCCTTGGTTCCAGAAAGCTGGGCACTGGAGGATCGGGAGTGAAGGAAACAGCTAAGTCAGGGTACCGGGGTGGGGGTGAGGCGGGGCGCAAGACTGCACCCTTCACCGGTCTAAGCACAGAGTCAAAGTTCTGGCTTAAAAACAAACAACAGCAAAACCAAAAGAAAACAGCCAAAAGAGGTGAAATTACAGCATCACGGAAAGCAACCCAGCCCCAAGCCCAAGTTCCAGTTCCTCCGTGGGTCTCTCTTTAAACATCCCTGTTTTGTCTAGTGAGTTTTAGTGAACCCTCACTCTCCGAAATCTGCGGAGAGCACCTATGTATCAATTTTGGTTTTGGCCGGTTGGTCCAGTAGGTGGGAAAGTAATTTGTAAATTTGATTCTGTACGATGTGAAGATCACAAATTACTTGTTGAAATGTAAGGCAGTCCGTCTCCTCTTCCTCTTAATCTACATTATTTCCCGAAAATAAACGCAAATTAATGAATGGTTTGTCAGTGTTGCTTTTCTGGTTCCAGGTTCTGGTCTCCGTCTCAGGGGACTAAAAGGGAGGAAAATTGTGTTAATAACCAGCGTGGTAACGACCTGCGCCAAGCTGGAGGCCCCAGAAGGAGGGGAGTTCTGGCAGGAGGAGTTTTCACAAATGTTCTTTTAGGGAGCGTCTCCCCCACTCCACGCCAGCCTGGGGTCTCTCTCTCCAGGCTTTTGACCCCTCAACTCCTTCACCCAGGACAGAGACAGGTGTCAGGACTCCGCTCTCTTCTGGGGCAGGAGCCTGGCACGGATTTCTTCACCCTAATTGCCTGCACCAGAAAGGAGAGGGGGAGGGGAAGAGGGGCGGGAGGCGGGAAATGATAGCGCTGTAGTGCTCCCAAGAGCTGAGCCAAAAGGGAAAACAAAACGACTGGGGGGAAAAAATCCGATCTGTGTCCTGCGTGTTGGCAGCAGACAACCTTCCTTTCTACCGAGCTGTCCAGGATGGCTTCACTGTGGCTGGAGGAATCCTAGATTCCTAGCACGTGCTAAGATGTCCCCCTAAGCCACCAGTTCGCGCCAGAAGTAGCCAAGTTACTAAACTATCTTTCGTTCGTATGATAAAGTTTCTTTTAAAACCCACTAACACAAAACCTGGAAAAGTTGATAAGGTCGCGCTTCGGGTCCGGTGGGGAGGAAGGCGCCGGGCGGGGAGTGGAGGGCAGTTCTCTTTGGCTCTTCTAATCCCAGCCGCAGGTCCTGGTCTTGGGGGACTAAAAGCGAGGAAACTTTAGTAACTTCTCCCCCAAAAATCCAGAGCCCAGAACTGTCCAGACCCCTTACCCCGAAAGCTCCTGGGTGTAGGGCCAGGAAGCGGCGCAACCGGTGCACAGACGGAGAGAAATAGACACAACGAAAAGTTCCCTGCGAAGTCTCCAGCATCTTCTGTTCTTACTCCGCGTAAGACTGGAGAACCCGGGGAGGGGGGGGGCGGCCGGCAGCGGAGAACGACCCCTCCCTCGGGGTCGCGCGCCAGCGAGGTGGCTGGCCTTCGAGCCTGCACCCCTTCTCGGTCCGCTCGCCGGGGCTCAGGACCATTATTTCTCCTCCAACAAAGCCGGCCCGGCAGAGGCCCGCGGAGGGCGCAGCGGCCAGGCCGCCCGCGGCCCTTCGCAGCCAGTCCGGGGTGGGCCTGCTGGCAGGGCGTCGGCGTCCGCGTCCGCCCCCAGCACGGGCGGCCAGGCCTGGCCCGCGGTGGCTCCTCAGTGCTGACCCCGCACTACGGGGGAAGCGGGGCTGGAGGCCCGAGCCCGGCGGCTTCCTCCACGCAGCAGCTGCCCGCGAGGCGCGAAGCACGAGGCCGGGGCCTGGCCGCCTCTGCGCGCCGCTTCCACCCCTCCCCCGCCCCCGAGGCCTCACCGCCCTCCGGGTACAGGAACGTGGGGACGGGGCCTGGCACCGGCTAGGACCGGACCAGCGTGCGGCTCCGGGCAAGTCGTTCACCGGCCCGACGGGCCCGGGGTTTTCGCGAGCTCCCCTCGGGGCGGCAGTGCGTGGGAACGAGCACTGGCTCCGCAGCTAGCCCTCGTGGCGCACGAGGCTTGGAGAGGAGCACGTGCTTCTTCCCGGGACTCTGGGCTGCAGCGAGGCCCCTGGGCGCCCGCGGAGCCCCGGAGCCCCCAGAGCAGGTGCGGGACGCGGCCACCTCTGGCGCAGGAGCCGGGGAGCTGGGAGCGTGCGGCGGGTGCGGGCGGCCACTAGGCCCGGGCAGGCTCTGGGCGACCCGGAAGGGCCGGCGGCCAGGCACCTGTTCAGGGGCGGGCGAGCAGTCCTCCGGTCACCCCTCTGGGAAAGCAGGAAGTTTGCTGTTTGGGTTTTGGTGCTCGGGTACAAGTGAAACAGCCAAAGTGTAAGCAACTTCTGGAGTTCAAAATCTCAGAAAATTTAGCACCATTAAGATGCCTTGGCTCCTTTAACGGAATCTTCATGTGCTCTGTTCAGAGCTTGCATTGCTCTGCTCCTACTAGAGGGCCAGAAGGCCTGCCCTTGACTGTGCCGAGCTTGAGGCTTAAGAGGCTGGCCACATTAGTGGTTTCTAACGAGTTTTTTAAATCTTAAAACTATCTCAAGGGCATTGCATTAATTTGCTGAAGTTCAGAAGAGAATCTGTGGAATAACTTCGTGTGCTAAAGAGCTTTTCTGTAATCTTTTCTACCAGCTACCGAGGGTTTATGGAGAACACGCTTTCTAACTTGTGAGTGCATATGCGTATGTTTTTGAGAACATTCTTAAAGTTATAGAGGGAGATCTAATGAGAAACTAAAACAGGTAAAAACTTAAGATATTGAGAGCGCACAAATTCATGTAGTGCGGACCAAAACCAAACCAAACCAAGCCAAACCAAACCAAACCAAAACACCAAGTTCTTGTTTTAAAAGAAAATTAGTCCCCCCCCCCCGTGTATTTCGTGGAAAACATTGGTATCCACAGCTATTTTTTTTCAATTGTAAAAATAAAAGATAAATTCATTACTAACTGGCAGAACTAATTATCATTTTAATGATGTCGTTAATGCCTGATGACAAGGTTGTGTGTAAAGGTACAAAAATAAAATGCAGCTGATATGTAACTGTAGCTAATATATATGTTGTTGGTAATATATGCATTATTGGTAATATATACATTATTGGTAAGGAGGATCTGCATCATTACTATTCAAGACCAGAAAATCACTTGGCTTTCATGTAGAATTAATTTGAGAAGAGCAATAAGATATCTTTATAAAATTCCCCAATTAGCTGGGTGTGGTAACACAAGCCCTAATCCCAGCACTCAAGAGGAAGAGGCCAGAGGAGCAGGAGTTCAGGACCAGCCTCACTCACATAGTAAGTTCAAAACCAACCTGGTCTCCAAGAGACCCTTCCTCAAAATGCGACTAACAAACAAAAAGTCTTTCCCCAACCCCACAAAAAGGGAAAAAAAAATCCCTAAAAACAGAAGTTTCAAGTTATTCTGTATTTTCCACAATTTCCTCCCTCCCTCCACACGTATATTTTAGAAGCTCAGATGAAAATGGAAATTTTGGTGTCAATCTCAACAGTGATTCAAAATCGCCAACTTAAATAATACTGAATAATAATGAATTATTTATTTGACAAGAAACTATCTCTATTATCTTTAAAGAATATTTTATTTAAACAGTATTTGGGCATCTAAATTGTTCTTTATGAAAACTAGACATTTTCCCCCTGTTTTTAATAGATGGTTCCTGAGAAAGCAATTATGCTTCTTAATCATTCTGTTAATATTTACTAGTATCTGAAAAAAAAAGAATCGTGTGTATGTGTGTGTGTGTGTGTGTGTGTGTGTGTGTGTGTGTAGAAGGGGTGCATTCCATTTTGATCCAGTGTATTCTTTCATTGTGTTTTAAAACTGAGTTGGATTTTACTTAAAACACATTCAGCACAGTCCTTCAGAAGCTTTGAAGAGCAAAAGTACTTGCCAAAAAGTCTTTTAGTCATTTAGATTGGAATGGTAGTCCTACAATATAGCCCAAGCTGAAAAGGTTTTTAAATATATCCTTTTTTTTGGGGGGGGGGGATAAGTATATGTTGTTTTTTAAACTAATTTGTATATTGCTCTAACATATAAAATTGTGCATTTATGTCACTTGAAAAATAAGGATATATTGAAAAATTTAGAGTTCTTTCTAAATCAAATGAGATTTAAACCCCATTTAATTAATGATGAACTATCAAAATTTAAACGTTGAAAATCTGTTATTTCTAAAAGTTGTACCTCTTTTACCCCTTGGATTCCTTACTTCATGGCTAATGCCAAAGAGAGAAAATATTATATTCCAAAAGCCACAAATACTTTTTATTTAAAAGATTAATCTTTATTGAACTGCTTATAAAAACTATTTGAAAATGTTAGAAATTCTTTTAAAGTAGATTGTAAAATTATGGTTTAAGGAACTCAAGTCCAAATTTGAGGGGTTGAAGTCGGGTATAAATAAATCATAACTAATTTTAATACTTGGGGAAAACTGAACTGTAAGAGTAGACGGTCTCTGATTGAACAGCTTGATGTCTAAAGAGCTTATAAAATATTTTTAGTATACAAATATTCTTATGTATGTTCAAAGCTCTAAATGCTTCTAAGATATGCCATCATCTGTCATAGCTATTTCAAATAGGGTTCGTATTTTCTTTTTAAAATTTATTTTAAAAAATTTACTGTGAAATATACATATGAAAGAAATTATAAAACAGATTTTTACACTTTAAAAAATAGTAAAATATACATGGAGTTACAAGTTTTAAACAAATGCTTTAAAAAGTAGATTTACAGTTGGTTACAATGTCAGCATTTAAACTTAATGTTAACTAAATATATCTGTGCTGTAGGCATTTTGTTAAATCCATTAGTAACTGTCACTATATATGAATACTTTTTAAGAGCGATAAACAACTTAAATAGAAAAGTTCTATAGGCCTTTGTGAATTCATATAATTGCTTGATGGTGCTTTGTCTATTATGTTCTTAATGAAAGAGCACCAAGAAAAACTACTGTTTCCCAAAGTTTACATTTGATGCCATTCAAAGCCATAGATTTGAGTCTTGATTTCACTGCTGGTGATTCCACATATTTGTAGCCTAAACCTCTCTTTTGGATTCTATATGCCTGTACATTCACTGAACAATGTATTGGGTTTTAGAACTTAGGAAGTTAATGCTGTGATATCTGGGAATGGGCTCTCTCCTTCTGCCATGACAGGATCTGAGGGACTTGCTTTAAAACAGCTGAGGAGAGAGAAGGAGTGGACACTTTGACATGATGGTACGCCCAGCACTGTGGAGACTGAAGCTGGAGGATTGCTGTGAGTCTAAAACCAGCCTGGGCTACATAGCAAGACCCTGTATCAAAAAACTGAGAGGAAGATGTGGGGGAAGGGACAGAGGGAGGGAACCAAAGATGGATGAAGCAAGATTTATACTCGAGTCCATAGTTGTTTAAAAATAAGTGAGTTTGTATAGGATTTCATTGTTTTTTA